GCTGAATGCACCATCTAATATTCAGCACCAAGCAAATTTTACTCATTACCTCAGTCTTTTCTACGTCCAAAATACCGATCGATGCTTTCTGTACTAACGACACCTTAATGAGTACCAACAGCCTCAAATACCCGTTGCGCATTAGTAACAAGAATGTGTTCACAGGGTAGACATGGGGATGAGTAGTTCGGATAAATGAGACTGAAACTTTACGTGATGCGATGGTTTGCGGGCCTCAGCTATCCATTGGACTACGCTGGGTGCTGCTTTTGCACCTTCAGAGCCACTCATAACAGATTGGTCAATGGTTAAAGGCCAGACAGACTCAGCCTCTTGGTCCTCCAAGTTGGGGGTTGGAGTGAAGTTGGCTCCTCACCCCATAAAACGGACTCAGTGTAGCCCAGTGCCAAAACTCCGTCGCGTTGCGGTCAGATTTTTGAGCCAAAGGCTTTTGTTGGGAACCCTAATCGCTCTCCTTACCAGGCCCAGCCAACCTAATAGTATCATTTTCACTCAATACAAGGAATTTCTCTTCCAACGATTTGATGTCTGGCCGTCGGGACGATAAACAACGGTGCCGTATGTGCTGCATCAAGAAGGATGGATGGAGGTTTGGATGCTACTGCTCAAGTCTTCCCGTCTTCTTATTCTCCCACTTACGTTTTGCATCATTATCGTCCAGTTCCGAATTTACTTTTATCACCCCATTTTAAACCCCCTAACTTCCTGCCCCATCTTGCTTTGATAAGCGTTTGTTTTCTGGTTTCATTTCACATGTGCACGCGGTGCGTCATTCCTGTCCTGTCGACAACCTCATGTCCATCCAAATGGACGTCAGTTCATCCGTTTCTCTTTGGAGTCCTCGATCCTCGTTATGCCTTATTGTGCGCACTTGGTCGTAGATTTGTTAATAGGTAGCATTTGCCCGAACAATAGGGAACTTATAAATGGATATTTGCTGTTTATCAAAAACTCGCCTGCAAGTTTTGAGTTCTGTGGATACTGATCCGTTTCATGCGGCACTGGCGGTATTTCATAATTGCGTTTAGCTGGAAATGACGCAACTACCAATGCCGGTCAAGCCGGTGTGGGTACTGCTCTGAGCCCCCGGGCTGAGGCTCCCTTATCGATTGGATCCTAATGATTAGCATTGTTTGCGCTGTCAGCTTGGATAGCTCGTTTAAATCTTCGAAGTCGCGCTGGAGCAAACGGTGCCTGTTTGTTATTGAAGCCTACAAGCGCATAAATTTTAGCGCTGGCAAGTTAAAGAGGAATTCTATCACCAAATAAACGCGCTCCTGCATTACAGGAGCGGGTACTGTTTTGCTGGCTACTTATATAAACACCCAAACTGAAACAATGTTCTCGGATGAACATCTGGGTAGTCGACAAAGTGTAGGCTCCCGTAATGATAACGGTGAGAGGTCTTTACACCTGTGTGAAGATGCTCCTCTCTTTCTTGCAAGCACTAACATCAGAATCAGCACCTGCCGGAAAGTAACATGGTGCCCACCCGCCTCAAACAATTCTTGGACTTAATTTGATCCCATTTCGATCGGTTAACGTTGGAGAGATGTCCGAAACCGTCGCTCGAATTGGAACACGACCGTGGACTCTGACAACGCACTTGAATTTGCTGATCTGCGATCGTGCTCAGGCGGATGTCCGTCACGGCGCTGTGAACGCATAGATATTTAATATGAATCAATATCAGAAATCAGTTCAGGGTGAAGAATTCTTTTCGGTAAACTCTCATCGGACCCGAACGTTTAGATAACACTGACTGTGGAGAAAGCGTCAACTCGGGCTGACATAGTTTTACAAAGGCGAAATGAGGTCTTCGGACAGCTCAATCACGTCGCACCTCCTTGAATGTGGCCATACAGCTTCACAGAAAGACTTCAAATTAATTTACTCACTACCTGAACACTTCTCCCAAGGATTCCGCAAACAGCTCTTATCCATCGCCGAGGCTATGTACATTCACCATATGAAGCCGAAATTATGTGTACAAAAACGATTTATACGATCGACACTACTACCTTGGCCAACGGACACTGTTACTTAGTTATTTGGCTGTTATCTTACCTACTTAATTACTTTGGACTTCTGAGCTTTGCGTATGCATGTGTGCTTAGTTTACTTGGTTTGCCATCTCTATCTCTGTCTCAAAGTAGCGATTTTGATCATTCAAACAGTCCATAAGTTAAGCTCAGCCCGAGTTGACACTTTCTCCACAATCAGTGTAAACGTTTGGGTCTGATGAGAGTGTACCGAAAAGAATTCTCCACCCAGAACTGATTTCTGATATTGATTCATATTAATGAAATGGGAATCTTTGCTTTGCTGAAGACCAGCATTGCCGGTGATACATAGATATTTGCCAACTTGTGAACTCGATGTTCTGATTGCGTATCAAAGTACGCTGCCATCCGAACTGAGTAAGCCCTCACTGTGCACAGTTGAAGATCATCGATTGCATATCCTCTAGACGTTATTAGCTGCAGGTGTCTTCATGTAACAAATCAAATCACCATTCTGGACGTGGGGTGTTTACCCAGTCTCTAGAGCTTACCGATTCTCGCCGACATTTTCGGGGTGAAAGCAAACACAATGAGATTCGCAAAAGCTCAGGGCGAAACTACGTACTAGACTGAAGAGAGATCACGAAGCCTGGTGGTCTCATCGTTCATCGGAACGCTAGGCAACTGCTGCTGTTGCTAACCATCGTAATTTATTCCGTCTGATACAGGAAACGAGTGGCAGGAGGCCTGGTATTAGTGAAACTATACTTGACGAGAGTGGACAGCCGATCCACAGCTTGGCAAAGCGCTTGAAGCATTGGGCTGAACACTTTGTGAAGCAGTTTAATCATTCGAACTTTCCATATTCTCTATCGGCATTTTTCGCATGTCTTCTTGCACCGTCCACTTGGGTCCGCCCTCATGCGCAGAAGTCTAACGTGAGATCGAACGACTGAAATTAAACAAGACTGCAGAAGCAAATGGACCTCAACCAGCTCTCCTCAATTTCGGGGGACCTGCTCTTATGGATAATTTGCGTAAGCTACTAGTAAATCTGTGGCAGCAGGATACTGTCTCAACAAACTGCGGCCGTCATAGTACCGTTCTTTAAGGGAGGCTCCTGTTCCTAATGCGGTAATCATAGATGAATAAGTCTGATCGCTAAGTCACCTGCCTCTGTCGTTCTCCACAGACTGACTGGCATTAGTGAAAGTCAGGTGCGCGAGGAGCAAGCCGGGTTTCGTCGAAATCGAGGGCGCATTGACCACATCTTCACCTTGCGTCAGTCGTTGGCGCACCGCCATGTTTATTGGCGACCCACCCTAGTTGTGTTACTCGACGTCAAAAGTGTCTTCGATTCGGTTGATTGATGTGCCCTTTGGGACTGTCTACTCAAGAATGGTGCTCCCGGGAAATATATGAATGTCCTAGGAGCGCTGCAGACCCATAGTTCGAACAGAGTGAGGGTTTATGACAAGCTGTCGCCATCTTTCAATATCTCCAACGGTGTGAGACAGGATTGCCAGCTATCAACTTCCCTTTCTAGCTTTACTTTTGATTAAGTCGTGTAAAGGGCTTTCGCTGGACACGATTTAGAAGGTGTACAGTTACTCTCAGGTGACTAACTTATTGACTTGAAGTATGCCGATGACATTGCCCTAATCTGTGCCAGCTGCCGGATGTGTCGATTTGCACTGGGTAAATTAGCTCTGGTAGTAAGCCGTTTCGGGCTATACTTTGCAATCTCAAAGTGAAAAGTTCTCCAAGATTGGTACGGACTCACATCTGCACTGATCCTCGTGATGATCAGATAGAGGTCGTCCGGAAATTCAAATATATCGGCAGCTATATTAGCCCCCCTGGGATCGAAGATGAGATCACCAAAAGCATGGCGATAGTTCGAAGTGTTTTGCAATCTCCACCACTTATGACGCCGGAAAGACATTACTCTCGCCATGAAGGGCAGAGTTTACAATGCAGTCGTCCATTCAGCTGTCCTGTACGGCTGCGAAACCTTGCCCATCAAGTCGACACCGCTGCCTTCGCACTTTAGCTAATGTCTGGTGGGAACACAGCGTAAGTAATGAACGTTTTAGCCGTCGCGTATTTGGTGCAGGATGAGTGAGTGAATCTCTCAGCACCCTTATTTTTAGCGCCAGGCTCCGATGGCTGGGCCACTTGTTACGCTTGCCAGCACATTACGTTCTTAGATATTAAATCTGTAATGTCTAATATCAGCCTTTTTGTTGCGATACCCTCAGTTGACTTGTACTGATGAATATGATGGCAGATGAGCGAGGCAGTTTGCCATTTCCCTACCCATTCCACTCCAACGCGTTGTATTATTGATTACTTTAACCAGTTTTAGAAGTGTTCAGCCACTTTGAGTCGGTCGAAGACAAGTTCTGTCTATAAACCTCACCACAACTCATAGACATCGTGTGAAATCATCTGCCTGTTTTTATGTAGCCTGAATGAAACGCAACCGGGTCGAAAAGGTAAGCAAATTTTAAAACTGGCTTGGTCTTATTATTTACATTTAATTTTCGGTTGAGCGACAAAATCTAACAAATATATCTTTCTTCACCGTCCGCACTAGTATCTTCTCCTAAGAGTTAGCGTGCTGTGGTTCTGAATAGTCCTTCTACAAATTTCGTCTTTTGATATGATTATTGCCACAACAAGAGGACTTGGATAGGTCTTTAAAACGTAAACCCCATAATCTGCCATCAAGCAGCTCATAACTTGTCGATACACGAACTAGGTGAACACACTCAAGGTAACTTGCGCAGCATACATCTGACATTGTCGGTAATCATTAGGGTGAAGTGATCGCTGTTGTACGCTCAGAAGTAGCTGAGACGCTCAGTCAACTTAGTTTGATGCTGAACACGTACCATAACGAATGTACGTATATGCTTTGTCTGTAATGCGTTTCCGACTTAAGACAGAGAGTAATAGCAATATCGACACACTGCAAGCTGTGTCCACCTTATATATTCAACATGCGTTTGCCCGTAAGGATGTTACGCGCTTTCCAAAGGGCCTATGAGGTTGAGAATGATTCAGCAAACATGTCGGCACCATTAGGAACCGAAATCCTCGTAAGGAGATGCGCGTGCGCCGGTCTAATCGGGTAGGTTACATAAGATGGTTGCAAATGGCTCTTTGATTTTTGAATACTACTTTCTAGCCAATGACTCAACCGCCACAGTAGCACACATAAAAACCGGGAGAAATGATGTCATGTTTACAAGGATTTCCAATGGTGCATTGGAACTGCACTTTATTTCTCTCCGCTTTCAGGGTCGGAATCCGGCAGTTTGAAGCGAACGCTGCATCTGGATGGGGCTATGCCACCCTGCACCTCTTTAACCGTGTATGGTTTGGTCATATACATTTGAGGTCTGGTAATCGTCGGATGACCCATGACATGCATGTTCGTGTGACAGAGCTGCGCACAAAGGTGGTGTGATGCAGAGGACAGCACATGTCTCGCCTGAGCGGTGATACCGTTACAGTACGGTGGGGTTGGGAACCAATGCAAACATGCGGAACCCATCGATTGTGTGGGATCGCAATCGAAATGATGATGGTGCTGACCACGATGAAGGCGTCTGTTTCCTTCAACGCACAGACACTCTTGCTTGTTATAAGCGTAGCTGCTTTCGGGCAGTCTCATTGCATAATAGTGCTGTTGCTTCGAATCCGAAGTTTCACTGATGCTCGATACATCAAGGTCTTCACTCTGTCCGCTGCTACTAGATATTGGTGAGCTCGAAGTAGAACATGATTCTGACGCACTGGTGTCAGTTGATAGGTTCCTCTGTTCTCCACCGAATGAGATTCTCCCTGGCGATGCAGTGGTGAAGTGCTTGGGGTAATGGCAGCAACCGCATGTAGCAAGCATCCGTTGGTGGATGCAGTGACAACAGTGGCCTGGATGGTTCCACTTTGGGGATGTAGTGTGCGCTCTGCATGTTACACAAGTCCAATGCACGAATTGAGTGCAATCGGGGACCATATTGCGCTCGTGTCCCGATGTTTTTGCGTCCATGTACTTATGGGTTTTGCACGAATTGGTCAATGGATCCTCACTGCATTCTACTCCCGGATTCCCTCTAGGCACCTGCTCCCCGTTCAGTGTAACTGACTGGTGTGCCTCAGTAGGCACAAATCTTTGTTTCCAGACGGCGCTGTCAGGAACACCATCCCTCATTTCGGTGCGCAACTTTTCTCTTATGGAAGGCGTGGGGTCAGAGAGAACTGTTGTATCATGTCGATCACTCAGCGATAAGCGTCCGTCGTGGAAGTTAGTTCTTTCCTCCGCTCTGCATTGAAAATCAACCATTTGCTGCGCGCCGCCCCTTCTGTTCGAATTGGAAGTTACCGGTATGGTTGATTCCTGCAGCTGTTTCTCCTGCTGTTCGGTGCGGGCTCCAAGCCATTTCCGATCGACATGGCCAGATCCTCTAGATGACGTATCACAAGATGGTTCGCTTGGTGGTTCTGACACCCTACCATCCTGCTTAGAGGGTATTAATGCAGTGTGAACCTTGGGCTCTCCCAAAACTCTGAGAGTTTCCCTGTCGGGTGTTAAGGCACGGCCATCCATTTTGGAACATTTTAGTTGCCACGCAGCTCTCCGCTGTTGTAATTGACGCAGCTCGTCCATCAGTCTTAGCTGATCTATTTGCCTCTGTTGCTCCGCTCTAATTCTTAATTTTTGCGCAACTAAACTATCTTTCCCAGTTTGCACTGGCTCTGGGAGAGCATATTCTGTAGGTTTTGACGAACCTTCCAAGAGCGATTTATGGTCCGCTGCCTCAGGTACAGTCGATCCCGTAATGAAATGCACTTTCGGATCGCATATTCTACGATTTTCATTGAAATAAGAACCAGTACACTGACTTGCATTTTGATTCCCACAATCCGAAAGGTGATATTTTTGATCCGTCGTCTCTGACACACCCAAATAAGCGCTGTTATTATTGCTTCCACCCACGAGGGACCACCCTGAAGAACATCTTTCAGTGTGGATCGGACTACAGCCACACCTTCTGCCATAAGCATCCGCCGTGTCTTTGAAAAACATTGGATTCCGGTAACCGAATATTTGGTTCTTTTCAAGTGTGCCTATACTATTGACCTCACTTTTACGATTACCTTTGGCCTCCAGTGGGATACACTCTCTGATTGAACTTGTTTGGTTACTTGAGTGGTGCCCAGGATCACCTGTATTTTCCCACACCCGTTTTATACCGTCTTCACTTTTTGTATGTGGTTGGGATGATAAAGGCTCATATTTAGGTCGTACCTTCTTTGATCTAGGAACCATTCTCGGGGGAAGTGAATCTGTAGTGACATCACCGAAGCAGGTTACTCGAACCTCTGGACTTCTCCCTGAATCCGGCGTAAAGCGTTCACCTGTCCTGTTTCTACGGTGCGCGTTCAGCGAATTACGCCTTGCATGTGTTAACTTGTTACAGGAATGCAACTGGTACCCCGTGCAAACGCGTTGTTCTGGGACTTGAGAACAGTTTTTAAGTCCCTTTCGACTACTCATGCAATCGGATCGTCGGTGGTTCTGCCATTTCCTAGTCCTATCGGACTCCAGAAGTTGCTTAGCAAACTTCACCACTTCTTTTGATGATCTAGCTTGACCTTCTCCATTAAAACTTGATGTGGCCGATGCTGTGAGCGAATTTGGGTCGGCACATTTACCGCCATCCGATTCCAAGTAATCAATGCGGTAGTATTGCTTCAATCCTCGTGAGGCAATATCATTTTTGACAAATGCACCCTCAATCATCGTGGGCGGCGTTGGCTCAGAGGAGCATGGACTCGATGGCATTGAGCTTATTAAGTCGGTTGGATTAATGTCGAACAGCCCATCGCCCTTTTCGCTGCATTGTGAAGTGGGAAGATGGGGGATAGGCTGTGTCGTGGAAATCAGTTCATCGTGCATTATACTGGGTCTATGGGATGTTGTAGTGTCTTTATTATGCTCCGCGCGCAAAGATGCAGTCTTTAGTGACTGATTAATGGGACTGCTTGTTCCGATAATGCTTTCGGATAAGCAGCTTGAACCTTGGGTGACCATAATTTCATCCAGTTTCCCAACGTCGCTTCCCACATCAGTTGACATACTTTTGTCGTGCATGTAGACTTGGTTCAAGCCCTCTTGAAATACTGGATCTGTTCTTCTATTAAAAGTCGAAGGTTCACCACGGTGGCATGGCGTTCTTGTTTGCGACTGAGGTCTAGTCGATGGACAAATGGTTGGGCGAGAAGATGTCTCTTCCACAGCCGTGTAGCTCTGCATGCGATCGGGGGATTTGTGTGCGTAATCACAATAAGGCTGAGATCGAACTGGAGAGTACCGGGATGATATTAATTCTTCCATTAGCTTTGTCAAACCTCGCACCGCACCATGTTGTTCGTTTAATGTAAGGGACACGCGCTGAAGCTGGTTCAGCAACTCCGAGAGAATTTCATGAACGGCGCTAAATTCTTTTGTAACAAATGCCACTTCTTGAAGACGCTGCCTGTTCAGATTTAGCAGTCGACTACAAACCAAGTGTAGCTGCCTTTTCGTATATGAAGTATATTCACCTTTCGGAACGCGGAAGCGTCCCACCTCCACAGTATCACTTGATCTGGAGTTCGTGTAAACAGCCGAATCCGGTCGCGTATTGCATCGTGCAGCGGTAAATATTACTGGATCTCGGAATTGATGTTCAATTCGCTGACTCCGCTGTTCTGCAGCAACGGTGTCATTGAAGCGTTTCGCTCTGATACACGCAAACGTTTTTTTAACGAGCAAATTTAATCTGCTTATCTTATCGGTAGTGAAGGAGAACGAATCTTTCTGAAATACTGGACTTTCGCCGCAGCTTCGAAGCGGACATGTGATTGTCTCGCGGAAACTCGTTTGACAAGAGTTGTCGCTTGTAGGTGGTTTTGTTTCCGTGGCCGGTTCTTTTTTCATGGTAACTGGCGTTGTGCATGTAGTGATTTCTGAGACTTCTTGTGCGTTATCAATTTTTGGTGGACCCATCTCATTATCCAAAGAAGGATGACGCTCCATGTCCATTACACTGCCTTCCTTGTTAGATGTAGGATACTTCTCTCGCTCAAGCTGGGTACGATTGTCTCCAAGGCATGAGGATATCTCTTTCTTTTTATTCATCTCAGATGTAACGAAGCAATGCGGCTTAGACTCCACTTGCGAATTATTCAAGGAGCTGTCAACTAATTCGCTTTGCTTGATTCGCGAAGTTTGTGCTGTTCCCAATCCTGGAACATGTGTATTAGATGGCACAACACAACTCTTGTTGATGCTTGTTACTGACGGTCTCAGGTCACCTAAGTGTAGTGTTTTATCATTGTAATGACACGTTTTCACAGGAGCCGCTAATGATGAACCGCTCCTTGATATTTCCTTAATTTCCGCAGGTGTGCAGAGTCCTTTTGTGGTGACTTTTCTTTTGTCCTTGTACCGAATACAAGAAGAAGTGTTCGAATATCCTGACTTTAAGGGTGATATATTTGTTTCCATTTTCACAAACCTATGTTGACTTCTGTTTGTAGTGATACGCAGTATAGATGCGCGATTTTGTCGGGCAGTAGTTATTTCTACTCTCTGACATCTAGCATTCATACTTAACTTACTACTAAATACTGGAGCACGCCGGTTACGATCGTCTTCGTTGTCATCTCGCGAAATGGAATTTTGACCGTTTGGTCCACAATGCATATAAATTTTACCTTTTTAGAATTCTTTTCCCAGTACACATGTTCAGGAGAACAGTGTGGACTATATTGGGACAATGAGGTGTCGTTGGTCCACCGCATACGAGTTACATTGATAACTGAGCGCATTTGAATACAAATCAATGCTACTTTTCTCCACTGCGTGTCACATGATATGCGCGGTGAGGCATGATCGCATGTACTAAGCGCAGATAAAAAAACAAAAATATAATAAATCGCCAGCTGTACGACGTAACGGTGGTTCTCGGCCACGCGACCACTACCAGTCGCACGCGGGCTGAGTATATCGCGAGGAAGCCCACCCCTACGTGGATTCGAACAGGTGATCTTATGATTGCAAACCGGGCGCACAGACCACTCGGCCACCAGTCGATATTAAACGCAGAAAGAAAACGTAAGTCGCGAAATGTGAATATTTCAATTGCTCTCCTCAATCGCGACTTCAATTCAATTAAGAATCAAACATTAGTGAACACGCGGAACTCAAGGTTGGATACTGTTCTGCATTCTCGCCTTTTGTACGTGCTGCAGGCTTATGGTATTTGGGCGCCAATCTTGAAATGGATTTCGTATTTTTTTCAACCGGAAGGGAGATGTGCGTTCCTGTGGGCTCCAGCTTGTCATCAAATTGCTGGTGTCCCCTAAGTCAACACCCTACTTCGGCTTGGGCAACCGGGTAGTATCTCGCCCTCTGAGGAAACCATGGACATTGTTGTGTTGTGTTTTATTTTGCTGTTTCTGTACCTTCGTTTGAATCCCATGGTTTCTGATGGCATTATGTCTGTTAGCAGACTTTTGCAAATATATATATATATATATGTGTGTCCACAGCGTTGTCCCGCAAGGGTCGGTCCTAGGTCCCCTTTCATTCATCTTGTTCGTTAATGACTTGCTCGATGAGCTGAGAGTGCCATAACTTGTTCTCGCGGACTTAATGTTCTGGTCCACATTAAATGAACCTAGTGGTGTAAAGGTCATACAAAGGGCTCTAGATACACTATGGAGCTGCCGCCTATTAATCTCGCTATGTGTTCAGTTTTGCGAGTAGAAACAAATGACCCACCGACGCACTATCTACTTGGGGGCAATGAAGTGCCGCGGGTGTCACTCCAAGCTGACCTAGACGTCTTGTTGTCGTCTGATTTTAAGTCCAGTGAACATTGGACGGTAGGTGCTCGCAATGGTTTTGGCATGTTGTGAATGATCTGCAGATCATTCGTGGTCATGATAAGCAAAATGTTCGCACGATTATTTGCAGCCTTTGTTAGGCCACACTTAGAATACTGCGTACAAGTATGTCCTCCCTGCATAGCCCGGACAATATGGTACTTGAAGGAGTCTTACGGTCAACCTGCCGAGCTCAGCGAACACTGAGACCACCAATTGTCTTTCAATTAAAGAAACTGTCGTATCCTGAGAGGTTACTGGAGTTGGACATGTTTTCGATGTACTACAGGCGATTTCGGGTGACGTAGTCTTCTCATATCGCATAATAACACGGCAAGTCGGTCCGGAGTTATCTCAAAAAGACGATCTCCCACACCATGGATAATACCATACTAAGCATTATATCAGTTGTTTTTGAGTTTATGTATTAGGTAATAATTAGTATTTCGCTTCTGCACACACCTTATCTTTGTATATTGCAGCACAATAGCTTAACTGTGATTCCTACCGTCAGCTAGTATGCAATGATTATGGTTGATTTTGCTACGCTATGTGGTACTCTCGGGCCACTTGAGAGTTACTACTAACCAATTTATTAATAGTTGAAAGTCTAAGGAATTAATTTTTCTGGCCCTCTAGTTAGGGGTTGACAATTGGATGATGTCCATTTCTGTAGAACCGGATCTTTGTCGTCTCTACCGCTACTTTGTGGTCAGGCTTTTGAACCAGACTGTTTGATGGCCTTAATCTTTCTCCTGTTTAGGTTTAGACTGTATCCCAGTTCACATACAACAATGGATGAATGAATTATCAACTTCGAGTCTCATCCTGCATTAGTCACCAGTCAGTTTCAAAAATTGACTAATGCAAACATCAGGGCAGATAAGCGAAAACATGGCTGGCGCCACCGCTCTATCTTTTCCACTTGTTTCTCTTACCTCCATCCATATCCACACTTCTAACACACCCACTACAATACCCAGATTAATGAACGACAGTCCTAGTGCAAGTGGAGTTCTGCCATGTACAGCTAAACTCCAACAGCTTCCTTTAGAGTCCTGTCACAAACACCCTCTCCTCAGGCTACGCTACCCAGTTTCTCAGGTGGTGTTCAAGGTTCGAGCACATCAGAAGACAGCTAGGTGGTAAATTACAAACGCACGAAAATAGGGGCAAGCTTTTGTTGCAGTTGTGCGCCGAACAACGGCCATACCGTAGTAGCGTTGCTTTCAAGCACTGTGAGCGCCCATCTTCTACTTGCCGTCGCCCGATAGCTGGTCAGCGAAGGACTGAAATAGACCAAATTACCATGTGTTTCCGATGTCACAATTCAATCATAGGCTGCTACCGTTGCTGGATCATGTGGGACCATTCTGATCATGCCATGGTTCGGTGCCAATTTTCAATGAATTACGTAGGAAAGTGTATTAAACGTTGGCATCGACTGGCAAATGAGAATTTGTTCCCGGAATCAGTTAAGCAAAAATACCACCACACTCTGTGCACAAGACTCATCTAATTCCTCCATAAATGTTACTGGCCAATAAGTACATGTACCCCAGTTTGAACAATTGTGTAATACGGATAAACAAAGCCAAGGTTTGACAAGTACCATGGGATGGTTTGTGGGAATAAAGTTAGTTCAAGTTACACAAAAGTGAAAAATACACCTGTGGACGTACCATATTATCCACGTTAACACATAGGTATATTCATCTAACCCGATTTCCTGGGGTTGGTGGGCACAATGTTTGCCTGCGTCTTGTCGTCACTCAATGCATAGAGACCAGCTCAAGTAACGTAAATGATGTAAAGCATCGTCGAGTGATTTTAAAAAAAATGGGTGGCGTGGGCGTTGAAATGACAAAAGTCGAAAGCCCCTTGCACGGTTGAGAAACTCGAAGGGAAAAGTAATTCCGGCGGCACTCCAGCCGACTTTATCTGGTAGCAAGTTTCAGTTTATGACCCCTCAGTTTTGTGCTGCAGCTAAGATTCAAGTGGCGGCAAGCGTGACTAGGATTTATCAACATCTGGAATGCCGGGGAAGTCAAGCCGTAGACGGCGATACTTTCTGCTGCATACTCCCAGGGCTTTCAGTTGCCTATGGTATTGTAGGTGGGACAAACCACACATTTTTCGTTGCCTATCGTTATGCGGTCTCCAGTGCAACCAGGTCGCGTTTTAACCAGAGTTGCCAAGCCTGGATCACGTACTCTACATGGGGCCTCACATACGCATTGAGTTTTTGGGGGAAGATGGAGAGATCGAAACTCTGAACGCCATCCGTAACAGAACAACATGTTGGTTCGCAGTTTTGGACTCCTTCAAGAACTGCACCGAACGGCAGAGGTCGTCTTGGATTACCATCTCAAGCTCTCGCTCTTGGGAGGCCATGTTCAGCATATCGTCTCCAAGCTTATATGCATATGTGGCCTTGTGGCGGATATGCACGGTTTTGCACTTGTCCGTGTTAAACGGAAGTAGATTTACCTTTGACCATTCAAAAGCGCAGTCTGCGTCTCGTTGCACCATATCATGGTCTCATCATCAGCATCATCAACAGCAGTACATCAGCCATTGGAACTGATGCTTCGCTGCCATACAACCATGAGGACCTATGAAATAAAGAATAAGAAGAGGGAGAGTAGGGGGACTTACCTGAAAACCTTAATGCCCTAAGCAAATATTCTGGGTCAAGGCGCCTACACCTTGTGTAGACAACATACCGTCACAAACAGCTGGCTATCGTGCAAAGATAAGGCGGCATCGGCGACACAGCTTCCTTGCGGCTTTCACTGCCACGCGTCATAATCAGCCATTACCCCGCAGATAACTCAGCACCAAACACACTTTAAACAGACAATCCGATTAGGAGACGGTAGCAGACGCGCCACTGGTGTCGGTTGCGAGCCATGTCCTGTAAACTCTCGAGCCAAGCACAAGGTGAGTCACGTGGACTCCAACCCGGAAGGCGAGACGGACCCACGGCACCCAGTTTGGTCGTCAGTGAATTCATTTCCCGCTGCCAAGTCAACTTCTGTCCACCTCGAGCCTTGCGCCATCCTACACCTGGTAGACTGAACAAGGCCCTCCTAGGTAAGCGGTGACCAGGCATACGTAGCACGTGCCCGAGCCAACGCAACTTATTCAGTGCTATCTGTTGTTCTAGGGAGCTAGCATGATCATCACCACCTAGTACTCGCCTACGCACATCATCGTTGCGGACACGCTGATGCCATCCGACACCAGCAATGCTTCGCAAACAACGATGATCAAAGACTTGAATGCGCCACAGATCTTCAGACCGAAGGGGCCAAGTCTCACTACCATAGAGCAGAACGGCCCTCACTGTGGCCTTGTATACACGGCCTTTCAGACGGAGAGAAACTCCATTCTGTTGCCAAATATGACGCAGGTTCAAGAAGGCAGCTCTGGCCTTTGCAATGTGTGAGCTCACGTCAGTTTCTATGCGCCCATCATTGCTGATGCAGCTGCCAAGATAAGTGAATTGATCAACCACCTCGAGTTCCTCGTTAGCAAGCGTCAAGGGGTCATCAAGTGGCTGGTGATCCTGCAGCAACACTGCACTTTGAAGGTGCGAAGCGCATGCCAAATAATGGGACCACTCTGGACAGGCTACTCAGGGTTGATTGTGCCGCCTCAACATTGTCGAAAAGCAAGACGATATCGTCCGCATAATCTAGATCAACTAACCTTTCACCAGGCAGCACTTCAACGCCTACATCATGAGATTCCGCAAAGGAACACTCCATGATAGAATCCACGACGAAATTGAACAAAAATGGGGAAATCGGGCAACCCTGTCGAACGCCACTTGTAGTCGAAAAGCTATCCGATAGGGCACCATAGACCCTGACGTGGCCTGTAGTGTTCGAGTATAGAGCACGAAGGATGTTCACATATTTCGTGGGAACACCTTTCC